GGGAAAAAAGGGAAAAAAGGGAAAAAAGGGAAAAAAGGGAAAAAAGAATGGAGAAGGAAAAGGAAAAAGGAAAGATCAGGGAGGCACCAGTTCCTGGGAGGAGTGGACAAAGCCTGTCCCCAGCCATTCCCATCCCATTTTTCCCGGGGTTTTTCTGGGATTTTTCCTGAGATTTTTCTGGGATTTTTCCCGGGATTTTCCCGGGATTTTTCCCGGGATTCTCCCCGTTTTTTGGGATTTCTCAGTACCTGGCTCCAGGGCTCGCACAGGTAAGCTGCACACGGAGTTGTGGGTGCTGTTCCCTGCCCGGAGAGTGACGAACCCGCTGCTCTCACAGCTGCAAAAAAAAGCGGGAATTTGGGATTTGGGATCTGAAATTTGGTGGATTTGGAATTGGGGATTTGAGATTTGGAATTCGGAATTTGGGGATTTGGGGATTTGGAATTCGAGATTTGGGGATTGGGGATTCGGAATTTAGGGATTTGGAATTTGGGGATTTGGGATTCGGGGATTTGGAATCGGGGATTTGGAATTTGGGGATTTGGGATTCGGGGATTTGGGATTCGGGATTTGGAATTTGGGGATTTGGGATTCGGGATTTGGAATTTGGGGATTTGGGATATTCCTGCTTCTCCTCCTCCTGCTCTTCCCAAGGTTTTCCTTCCCCCTCCTGGAGCAGAGCAGGGCGAGTTTGGGCTCCTCCCCCAGCCTGGATTTTGTGCCCCTTGGTTTTTCCATGGATTTGGAATTTGTTTGGAATAATTTTTCCAGCATTTCAAGCTTGACTTTAAGGGGGTTTAAACTGGGGAGTTTGGTTAAACTCTGCCTTGAGACTAAGAAGTGAAATTCCAGGTCTTGCTTAGTTAAAAAAAAATCATCAATTAATCTCAGGATGATCATCCTGGATTCAATTGGATTTGTTGATGTCAGTATTGAACACCTTCATTGGCATTTCAACATTAATTTATATTAAATTATTATTTTTTAAAATTATAATTATCATAGTCGTCTTATTTTTATTCCTAATTCCAAAAGTAGGGAAATAAAAAAAATCTCGGTCAGTTGTTATTATTATTATTATTATTACTATTACTGTTATTATTATTATTACTAATTTACTATTATTGCTATTATTATTATTACTACTACTATTATTATTATTCCTATTTTCAAATAAGGGGAATATCAATAAACCCATACTCAGTCTGTTATTACTATTACTATTAATTACTAATACTAATACTAACACTAATACTAATACTATTATTCCTATTTTCAAAGAAGGCAAACACCTCATTAACAATAATTAGAACTTATTAGTAGTTATTAGTTGTTAACTATGAGTAATCAGTAATTATTAATGATAATAGTTATTAATCATTAATTATGGGTTATTAATTGTGCCGTACTCAGTCCAGTTGTGGCACCAGTCGTTCCTGCTGCTGGAGTAGGTCCCGTTCTCACAGGGCTGGCACTCAAACAAGAAACTCACCTCTCCTGTGGGGGGATAAAATGGGAATGGGATTGGGAATGGGGAATGGGGAAATGGGGATGAGGGGATGGGAATGGGAAGTGGGGAAATGGGGCAATTGGGGAAATTGGGGAAATGGAGAAATGGAGAAATGGGGAAATGGGGTACAGGAATGGGATTGGGAAATGGGGAAATGGGGAAGGAATGGGGAAATGGGGAATGGGAAATGGGGATGGGGAAATGGGAAAATGGGGAAATGGGATTGGGAGTGGGATTGGGAAATGGTGATGGGGAAATGGGGATGGAAAATGGAGAAGAATAGGGAATGGGCACAGGAATGGGAATGGGGCACAGGAATGGGAATGGGGCACAGGAATGGGAATGGGGCACAGGAATGGGAATGGGGCACAGGAATGGGAATGGGGCACAGGAATGGGAGAGATCCCGAATTCCAGGACAGCTGAGGGCACCACAGACAGGGCTGCCCCATTCCTGATCCCATTCCCGATCCCAATCCCAAATTACCGATCCTGTGGGGCTGGTACCCGGGCCCACAGCGGGGCAGCCCCATTCCCAATCCCATTCCCATTCCCAATCCCAATCCCAATCCCAATCCCAATCCCAATCCCAGATTACCGATCCTGTGGGGCTGGTAGCCGGGCCCACAGCGGGGCAGCCCCATTCCCATTCCCATTCCCAATCCCAATCCCAATCCCAGGTTACCGATCCTGTGGGGCTGGTACCCGGGCCCACAGCGGGGCAGCCCCATTCCCAATCCCAATCCCAATCCCAATCCCAGGTTACCGATCCTGTGGGGCTGGTAGCCGGGCCCACAGCGGGGCAGCCCCATTCCCAATCCCAATCCCAATCCCAGGTTACCGATCCTGTGGGGCTGGTAGCCGGGCCCACAGCGGGGCACTCTCTGGCAGTACTGGCAGGGCTCGTCGGCGCAGCTGAACCCTTGGGGACATTTGCAGTCGTGGTCCCGCGCGGCCTCGCAGGGGACACGGGGTCCTGCGGGCAGGAAGGGGTTAAAGCCGCTTTTCCCAAAGGTGGGAATTCCCATTCCCATGGGGAAAAGGCTGGGAAAAAAAAGGAGGAGGGGGAGAAGGTGATTCCACCCCGCTATGGGGGGGGGGGCTGGAGTAAAGGGATCCCAAAAATTGTCACTCCTGTCCCTGGGAAAGAGATTTTTCCTGGCAAAAATGATCCCAAAAATGTCCCTCCCATCCCAGGGAAAGAGAATTTTCCTGGGAAAAATGATCCCAAAAATTGTCCCTCCCATTCCAGGGAAAGAGAATTTTCCTGGGAAAAACGATCCCAAAAATTGTTCTTCCTATTCCAGGGAAAGAGAATTTTCCTCTGAAAAATGATCCCAAAATTGTCTCTCCCATCCCAGGGAAAGAGAATTTTCCTCTGAAAAATGATCCCAAAAATTGTCCCTCCCATCCCAGGGAAAGAGAATTTTCCTGGGAAAAAAGATCCCAAAATTCTCCCTCCCATCCCAGGGAAAGAGATGAAGGAAAGAAGGAATCCCAGGAAAGTGTCCCACATATTCCCAGGGAAAGAGGGAGCCCCTTCCCGGGCCAGTTACACACAATTTACTCACAGTTACACAAAATTTATACACAATTTACACACCATTTACACACCGTTATTCACTACACACAATTTACACACAGTTACACACAATTCAGACACCATTTACACCCAGGTATTCACTAAATTTACAATTTACACAGAATTTACACACATTTACCATTTACCCACAATTTACAAAACTTACACACAATTCACACACTTTTACCCACAATTACCCACCATTTACTCCCATTTACACACATTTACACCCAATTTACACCCAATTCACACACAATAACCCCCATTTACACCCAAATTTCCAAAACTTACCCACAATTTACTCCCATTTACACACAGTTCACACATAATAACACACAATAACATATTTACCCCCACTTACACCGAATTTGCCCACATTTACACCCAATTTACTCCCGTTTGCACACCATTTACTCCCTATTTACCCCAATTTACACCAAATTTACTCCCATTTACACCCAATTACCCCCATTTACACCCAATTATCCCGATTTACACCCAATTTAAACCCAATTTACTCCCATTCACACGCAATTACCCCAATTTTCCCCCAGTTCCCGGCCCGTTCTGGCTCACCTGCCTTCCAGGTGCAATTGGGGCAGCACTTGGTGCCATCCCCCCACACCGCCCGCAGCGTCTCCCCGTCCTGGCACTGCCCGGCCCGGCCCGGCCGCGCCCAGCGCCCGGCCAGCAGCGCCAGCAGCAGCCACAGCTGCCCGGGGGCCATGGGGTGACACCGGCTATGGGGTGACACCGGCTATGGGGTGACACCGAGTCCTGGGGTGACACTGGATCTGGGGTGACACCGGCTATGGGGTGACACTGGATCTGGGGTGACACCGAGTCCTGGGGTGTCACTGAGTCCTGGGGTGACACCGAGTCCTGGGGTGTCACTGGATCCTGGGGTGACACCGGCTATGGGGTGTCACTGGATCCTGGGGTGACACCGGGTCCTGGGGTGACACCGGCTATGGGGTGACACCGGGTCCTGGGGTGACACCGAGTCCGGGGGTGTCACTGGATCCTGGAGTGTCACCGGGTCCTGGGGTGACACCGGCTATGGGGTGACACCGGGTCCTGGGGTGACACCGAGTCCTGGGGTGTCACTGGATCTGGGGTGACACCGGGTCCTGGGGTGTCACCGGGTCCGGGGGTGTCACTGGATCCTGGAGTGTCACCGGGTCCGAGAGTGTCACCGGGTCCTGAGAATGTCACCAGCTCCGGGAGTGCCACCAGATCCTCGAGTGTCACCGGGTCCGGGAATGTCACCAGGTCCTGAGAGTGTCACCAGGTCCTGGCAGTAGCACTAGGTCTTGAAAGTAAGTGCCACCAGCTTCTGGAAGTGCCACCAGCTTCTGGAAGTGCCACCAGCTTCTGGAAGTGCCACCAGCTCCGTAAAAATGCCACCAGGTCCCGGCAATGCCACCAGATTCTGGAAGTGCCACCAGCTCTAGGAAATGCCACCAGTTCCGTGGCAGTGCCACCCCTGCCTGGCACTGCCACCAGCTCCTGGAAGTGCCACGAGGTCCCTGGAAGTGTCACCAGCTTCTTGGAGGTGTCACCAGTTCCTGGCAGTGCCACCAGGTCCCTGTCCCCGCTGTGGAGGCGGCACCGGGGTTTTTGTGGCCGAGCTCTTCCTGTTTTTTTGGGGGGGCGGGGGAAGGTTTGGGTTTGGGCTCAAATGGCAGAGCTGGAGCGTGGGGGGCAGGGACAGGGACGGCCCCCAAAAAAATCGGGGTTTGGGGTTGGGAAGGGGTTTGGGGTAAAATCGGGGTTAAAGGGAATTGGGTTTGGGGCTGTGGGGCCAGGGTGGGGCGGGCTTGGGAGGGAGATGAAAAATCAGCTCCTTCCAGACACCTCCCACTGCCCCTGCGGGGACAGAGCGGCCACGGATCCTCTGGGAATCCCATCCCAACCCCAAATCCTCTGGGAACTCCATCCCAACCCCAAATCCTCTGGGAATTCCATCCCAAATCCTCTGGGAACTCCATCCCAACCCCAAATCCTCTGGGAATTCCACCCCAAATCCTCTGGGAATTCCACCCCAACCCCAAATCCTCTGGGAACTCCATCCCAACCCCAAATCCTCTGGGAATTCCACCCCAAATCCTCTGGGAACTCCATCCCAGCCCCAAATCCTCTGGCAATTCCATCCCAGCTCCTGCCCTGGTGAAAATTCCGCGGTGCAGAAATGAAAATCATTTCTGAGCCGGGTTTAGCCGGCACTTTAAACCGGGTTTAGCCGGCACTTTAAACCGGGATTAGCCGGCACTTTAAACCGGGATTAGCCGGCACTTTAA